GTATATACCGTTTCCTTAACTTCCTTAACTTCCTCATTACTATTACGATCTTTGTGCTTCGAGCAAATTGGTTTCCATTTATTTGTACCTTCGGTATTCTTGGTTGACGTTCGCAATAATTATATATAATTTCCGCTAATTCTGAATCTGAATCACTAGACTCTTCATCACTAGGATCAAGTGCTAACTTTATAATAGTTTCAAATATGAATTTTTTCTGTATGCTTCTCTCCATATTTCTAGGTTATTTGTTTCTTTTCGCTGACGTCGCTATATGCTGACAGCACTGAAAATATCGTTCCAAAATGAAAGCTGCGTTTGCATAAAAAGCATGCTTATGAAATTGGAACACTATTGGTAGCATGTACTTATGACGACATGCTCGCAGCGCTGACAAACAATTTTGGAACACAGCCGATAACTCGAGTTCGGGTTAGTTCCACTAGGACCGAAAAATATGGTAGACATTACCACCTAGTACTTTCATGATTTATGATAACTCAACGCTGTCTTGCATTGCCATTGAGTTGAGTTGTGTTAAGCCAGCACAGTGTTGCCGTTTTTAGTGAATTTTCACTATTTTAGTGATTTTTAAGGTCTTTTGATGATTTAGTGAATTACTTTCTTTATTTAGTGAATTTTTATGTCAGCGTCCTCTACTCCTCTTATTTTGTTTTCAGTTCCTCATTGGACCATATTAACATAAACCAATCAAATAGCGTTTTCTGAAAGAATAGTGAGAACAAAAATGGATGGCTACATTTATAGTACATGTTTAAATACGACCCCGATTTAAGCGTAGTATCCCATCCCATGATGCATCATGATAGTTAAGTGACGAAATGTCAGATGGCGTGGATCATGTTCGGGGTCGCGAGTCTTCCATTCTTATTTTCACTATTCTTTGTTTGTCAGTTGTCTTAACTGCTTAAACTGCTGCATCATAAGCCGGTTGAATTCCGGCTCAATTCATTCCGGAAAATTTTTAAGTTTCTGGACTCTCGTTATTGTATTGTA